TGAGTCCCATCTTCAACGTAAGTTTACATTGCTAGCGGTGTTCTTCCAAACTTATGGCGCCAAAGTTCAACAACAATGATCTCCTCAAACATACGCTTCCTCTATGGAGTCCCGTCCGAGGGACGGTTTCGGTATGAACTATATTATTAGACGAGAGTATCATTACTGATCTCTACCCTAGCCAATCCGCGAAGCAGAAGATGAGGATGACATTCTCACATCGTCTTCGGCGGCTTTAATGGTCCAAAAACTTGTCGACGACGTACCTGAACCGTTGCTGCCCCACATCCAAGTCGACCATGTCCCTGATCTTCCCCGCCTTCAGACATTCGGTCTATCCCGTTCGACTTCGGTATGTAACATTAGCTTTGTATATGCCACTGTTTTATTCATGATACATCGTGAAGCAATCACATACGCCAAAGTACGATCCGTTCGGAGAAAATCTGGTATCCGAATAGTGGCTTACTCCCTATATTGGCAATGGCTATAGGTAAGAATATTATGAGGCAACATATTCAGAAACTAACAGCAGTTGTCAGTTCGCCGGACGTCTCATCTCCAGCAGGCCTTGCACAAATCCCCACTATATCTCCGGTAGCATCAACGCCTTCAACGGCCTCCGTGAAGAATAACCAGTCTCCAGAGGCATTGATATTCTCGCCGTTTAAAATGGTGTCTGACCACCACAGCTTGGGCTCGAAGTCAAATTCGTCCCATGGTGGTCGCACCCCAGTGTCACCGTCTTCAGCTGCTCCTGGTTCAGGTTTGAACAGCAGCGGCGGTCCGGGTGGCTCGTATTCTCTACCAAGTAGCTCGCCGTCGTCCATTAGTGGCGAAAAGGAGAGCTTGTCCTCGTCTCCGAGCTTGCACCTGCATTGCCGTCTGTGCGGGACAAACCCATGCCGAGATACGACGGCGACTATGTGTGGCCATATTTTTTGTAATAAGTAAGCTCTATCTTATGTCTGTTGAATTTATACTGAATAGTTGTCAGTTGCATTGTACACGCTGTCATTTCGACATCCAGCTGCCCAGTTTGCAATAACCCTACTTTACTATACTGTTTATTCAAACTCGACTTGACTTCTGTGTAGATTTTGGTATAGATCCAGGGATTTCTTGCGAACGTTTCTTGACAATAGTAGCCACAATGCAGTGTAACTTTACGACCTACTAGTACTTTTGAACAAAAAAAAACAGAACAGATGACACACTAAAAGTCCTACATTTAACGGAAGAAGTGGCGTTAACACTTCAGTATTGATTCTCGAAGTAATACACAGTGTTTTGGTGTCATAAAGTCATGCAATGGAGCCTGCAACAGCGAAGCAAGGGATTTGCCATAACAGACTAGCGAACTTGTGAAACAGTGAAGATCACAACTTGAAACCAAAAGGCCCTCGGGTGGTGATATCAGTGACTTTGATAGATAAATCGGAGGAAAATAGTCCAGTTGGACGCCAGGAAGGTATAATTCGCGGTGCTTATGCATTGGGAGAATCAAGATGGGTCAGTAGCAAATTAAATAAATAGAAAGTTCGAGAACACGGACCTACAGTGGTCTACAACTCCACGTGGCTGTGAACCTCTTTTTCCATTACCACCATTTCACTTTGCCGACGCTCCACTTACTTAGACCACCAACATCGCCTTCAATGAAGAAACGAGATGCAACCTCAAGGTCACACGCGATTGACTCGAACCCTCCGATTTATGGGAACTATCATGGGTTCGTCCATCTTTGTTGTCTTGCAGCTTGTCACTCACTTGAGATCGTTTAGCTACTACTCTAGAAGGCCCTTCATAAACGATCCACGACTAGCCCTACTTCCTGTAGATTTCTTTGTTGGAAAGCGAGTGTTAGATGTAGGATGCAATGAGGGTTATGTTACTTGCGAAATTGGTGAGTTACGCCATACTGGAAGTGTCGCTTACGGCTGAAGTGACCAAGATAGCTCAATCCTGGGGAGCTCACAAGGTTGTCGGCGTTGACATCGACGAGTCTCTGGTCCGGGCGGCGTGGAAGAGACGGACCGTCGTCTGGTCTTCACAGTCCCCTTCAGCACCTGAAACGGACGACTCGGCACAAGAAGTACATTCAGATTACTTTCCTCTATCGTTTGAGCACATGTTTGGATCTTTGCCGATACCACCCAACCAGAATCGTGGCAAGCATGTTTTTCCGCATAATGTTTCGTTTCGCACGTCGGATTGGGTCAACAATCAGATTCCGGAGGATTCTGAGCCGTATGATATCATAATAGCGTGTGTCCTGTCTAGCGCCTTCGGCCTGCCCACCTCATTCCTCTCCCAGGTTCTCAATATCGAAATGGATTCATCTAAACCAAGGCGATGAAGGACTCCAGCAATTTTTCCGTCGAGTACATTCTCTTCTTCGGTCGGGAGGTACTCTCGTCTTCGAACCCCAATCGTGGGATACATACAAGAAGGCGAAGAGATTGGACAAGTGTTTGAGGGACAAAGCAGCGACCCTGACAATACGACCCGAGGATTTTGGGCTGCTCCTGTCTCACATTGGCTTTAGTCCAGCACAGCACTTGGGCTTGACAGGTGAAGGAGGTACGTTCCCTGGCTGTGCAGCGCTGTTTCCCCATGTGACGAGTAATACATAGGTTTTTGTCGCCCAGTAGATTTATACGTGAAAACATGACCATACGTCTGCTGTATCATACCCGTGTAATTGGAAGCATTGACAGCCAGCGCGAAGGTGTGCTGGGATTCGGGGCGGATTTAGTAATGTGAAACACATAAGCCATTCATCATAGATTGTTCTTCCGCGACCTGATTGGCCGCGGGGTTTGCATCCGGGCCATATTTAAATGCACAGCTCAATAAAAAGCGGATATTCCTCCTCAATTAGCACCTTCTTTCTAGATGACGCTCACAGCTGCTTTACTCTACGCCTGCGCGTGCTTTCTGGTGGCGCTGGCTTTTTTTCGCAGTCGTAAATCTGCCATGTTACCACCCGGACCCAAGGGCTGGCCTGTAATTGGGGTACGTAGCTGCCTGAGAAATTGTCGCGAAGGCTCATGCTCCACAGAATATCTTTGACATGCCAACGCACAGTGACTGGCTGACTTACGCTGAATGGGGAAGGAAGTATGGTTCGTTCACTCTGCTCCTCTATTGTTCTTTTCTGACTTCCTCTTATCTCCTCACCAGGCCCCATATGTTCTGTGAATCTCATGGGGCAGCGCATGATCATTGTCAACAACGCAAAAATACTTGCCGATCTCGACAGAAAAGGCGCCATCTATTCTGACAGGCCGCGACTGGAGATGGCTGGTGAACTCGTTGGGTATGCAAACACAATCGTTCTCCTTCGATATAACTCGCGCTTTCGCAATTGCCGGAAATACATCTCGAAGATGATGGGCACGATCAATTCAATTCAAAAGTATTTTCCGATGGAAGAACACGAGACGCGGCGACATTTACAACGCGTTCTAGACAACCCTGCGAAACTCAATGAGAGTCTGCGCAAGTAAGTTCTCCTTGAATCTTCTTTGTATAGTTGCGATCATGAAGGTCGGCAGGACTTCCGGATCAATCATATTGAAGGCAACGTACGGCATCGATGTACAAGAGGAAAACGACCCCTTCGTGAAGCTTATCGAATCCTCAAACACGAACTTTGGTATGGCTACTGTTCCAGGTGAGTCGCTGGTGAGGTGCATCAAATCTCTCCAGCACCTGCTGAACTTGACGTAGGTGCCTTTTTGGTCGACAGCTTCCCTGCCCTCCGCCACCTACCAGAAAACTGGCCTGGAGCCGGATTCAAACGGCTCGCGAAGAAGTGGGCCAAAGTATTTGATAATGTTGTTGAGGTCCCCTTTGCTTTCACGAAGGGGCAAATGGTACGAGCTATTCTTGCCAATGGTTAGTCAGGGCTAAAACACGTATTAAAAGGATGCTGGCATCGCTCCTCCTTCATTTTTATCCTCTGCTCTCACGGATGAAGAAAGTTTATCACCCAGCGAACTTCTTGATATCAAGCACACGGCTGCTTCCCTGTACGGAGGTATGCTTTCAAATCCTCTTTAATCAGTTTTCTCCCACAGAATATGACTTATGATTGATGAATTTAGCCGGGGCCGATACTACAGTCTCGGCTCAATATGCTTTCTTCCTGGCCATGATTCTCTATCCTGGTACGTGTGGTCATCTTACCCAAACCTGGCGCTTACCATCGAAGCCTTGAAAAGATGTACAGAAAAAGGCGCAGGCAGAAATAGACACTGTGGTTGGAAGCGACAGGCTCCCAGGCTTTGCGGACCGAGAAAATTTGCCGTACGTCAATGCCATTGTCTCAGAAGTTTTGAGATGGAACAACGTCGCACCTATCGGTATGGTATCCCCGTCTTGTTCTCTATTTAGGCGTCTACTGACATGGTGATAAGGCTTTCCACATACGGCCATGGAAGATGGCGTTGTAGGCGGTTACTTCGTTCCTAAAGGCTCAATTATCATCACGAACCTTTGGTCGGTCTTCCTCCGCACGAACGGATTCCTCTGACCCTGAATATCGCTTTCAGGCAAATATTACACGACCCTGAAGTTTATCCTGATCCATTTACTTTCGATCCCTCTCGATTTATAGCCTCGGCTGGAAAAGAGGTACAGCGTGATCCCCGGCATGCGTGCTTCGGTTACGGACGACGGTACTGTGCTGGGTTTCATCTGGCTGAAGCTTCTCTGTTCATATGTATCGCAATGTCTCTTGCCGTCTTTGATATCACGAACGCCGTGGAGAATGGTGTTCCCGTTGTGCCCGTCTACGAGAGCACGTCAGGTATTGTCAGGTTCGTCGACTTTTCCTACATGTGTGGAAAATGTATTCATCCACGATTTTCAAGCCATCCAAAACCGTTCAAGCACTGCATCAAGCCTCGATCTGAAAGGGCTTCGGCTCTCGTGCTTGCCGATAACTTGTAGGATATCAATTTCCTTCTCGTCAACTCGATTGTTTGTCTTCTGTATTGAATACGTGTAACATCATATGGCTTCGGTATTGATATCTTACTTGAATCCTGATATGTCTTGGTTCTTTGGGTAATTAAATGTTCTATTTTTTGTGTGTTCTGATCCAACAGGAAAAATTGACGCGTCTGGCGCGTCTGTGGCCCATGTCACGTGCAACTGCAAAGTTGCCTTTGCAGCTTCCTCAGGCCTTCTCTTCTTCCCCCCTTCCCCCCTCCCCATCACTGCCTCCCAACTGACTCTAAATATCGATTTCGTTTGCGCCGTTCACTTTGTTTTCGCTCACCATCTCCCGATCTTCGAGACGAAAGACTTTCCATGATGGACAGGCTTAAAGTAAGGTATCACTCATTCTGCTGTATCGCTATACTGATCGTATCATCACACAAACAGAGAGAAGCGGAGACGGGATCATTGAATGCTCTCTGCAGACTGTCATTGAAAGTCAACCGGGACTCAACCGTTTTTCCCAGTATCATCGCCGCCATCCGCCATCATCTACTGTCTGTCAATTTACCGACGACATTTATCGACCCAGGCTCAGATTCAGAGCATCTGAGGATATTGAAGAGAGTGCATGAAAGCCTCAGTGCTCTTATGATGACTTTTGCCCACCATGTTCTCGACAATCCTCGTAACGTTGCTCTAGTAGCAAATTTGTGGCCGGACTTGTCTCGCTGGATTATCCCATTTCTTCAAACTTACATCGTTGAGGTTCCTAACGATCCATCCATCGTCCGTCATGAGTATGTTGAGATCATGATCGACTCACACCTACGACTGCTGAAAGGACTATTCCAAACACCCCAGATTTCGTCTGCGATGAAATCTCCCGGCCTCATATCGTGTTTGATGAAGGTTTGGGTGTCTCTCATGGCATCCGGTACGGAGTTTTCCCGGCAGGAGGCGACTATGCTTGTAATAATGGGCTTGCTATACCAAACTGGCAGCTTGCATGATGATGAAGCCTTCAACGCCGTTACGACAGCTTTGTATACGACATCACCAGACAAAGTTACCGCCTCCCTCATGGGTCTCATAAACCTCGTACAACAGCCTGCAGCATCTACGGAACATGTCATGATTTCACTTGCGTTTCTCGAGCACACGACCAACAACTCCCTGACATTCCGTCGAAACCACCTTGCTCATCATTCCATCCACTGGGTTTGCCGGCTGATGGAAAGGATCACGTCGCGCAAGCCTGATTTCGTCTCATCCTTCGAGGAAGACAAGGTTCACGTGCCAATGGTGGGAATGCTCAGATCTTGTGCAGGATACTTAGCGACTTGCTTTGAAGAGGGTTCTCTCAGAGTTGTGCAAGCACTGGAACGTCATTTGCTTGACTTGCTGTTGAAATGTATTCCTTTCTTTTCCACAGAAGACCCGTCGGCACCATCGCTCCTCTTCTCGACCATCGTGCAGATACTCGATTTGGTTAACTCTTATCTCATTTACCGTGGCGTCTTACGAGAAGTTCGCAGAAGCATGCAGCGGATACAGCGCTCGGGCCTGGAAGGAAACATTCATATGGGCCCGGAAACTATCCGAGATGCATGGTCTGCATTGAAGAAGACGGCGGACAAGCGATGGGCCATCAGATGTGTGATGGTCAATGAGGAAGTCGATAAATGTGAAAACCGGAACGTACGTCTCAGGATCCTCAGTCGCCCTAATGAAGTAACCAACTTGGTTCCATACAGTGTCCACCTGATGGAATCAATCATTCAAAGCGGGCAGTAAAGTGTTGTCAAGGGTGCCAGGCCTCTTTCTATTGTTCTAGAGAATGCCAGAAGCAAGCCTGGGTTTCTCATCGACCTCTCTGCCAGAAGATTAAATGTATGAAGCATGGTGAGTTTTTCATTAAAAACATATCGTATGACGTTGTCTGACATTCATTTTTGCTTTAGATGGGAGCCCCACAATGATTTCCGCTAGGGACACTCTCTTCCTGATCACTGTGGCGGAGAATGACATATACGAACATCTGGAAGTAGTAAAAGATCTGCGGGAAAAGAACGAGCATCAGCTGAAACACCCCTTGGTCATTTCCCTTGACTACGTCTCGATTCCCATGGCCATCACAATGAAGTCCGCGGCGGAGTATAGAGATCGCGAAAGCGCATGGGACCGAGCAATTCAGAAGGTCGAAACACAAGGTGGTCAACTAGTTTTCCTAAGGTACCCTCACGCTGTCAAACCTCGCGAAGGTCTGCTTCGATTCCAAATCGACGTTTGAGTTGTTCCGTCCGTATGATGACTGAGGTTTTCTTATCGTGTCGGCACTTTTGCCGTTAGGGAAATTGTTTCTGTTTCTACCACTCTGGTGTCCTGCGGTGTGCGCGCATTCACCCTTGAAGTTCTCCTTGACGCTCCACCTTGACATATGCATGTTCCTGTACTCTGGCGTGTCCTAAAATACCGCCAATGCTCTGTAAGTGGGATGGTCTCGCACGCTTACAATTATTTCTCCCTGGAGATGTCTTGACCTCCCAGCTGCTACGTTTTGGTCCTGGTGCTATACTAAATATGTCCGTTTTGAAATATCATTCTAATCCCATCTGATAAGCCGAAACAGACCCAAAGGTGCCTGCCTCAATTGTGCCTAATGGCATATACTTGGCTATCCTTGGCTTCTTGGCAGAAACTATAAATAAATATTGGATCAGTCAAGCAAAAATCATGGTCCACATTGGAAATGCTCAGGGGTTCGGAAGGTCGCTACTTCGAGGATCGGTTCGCATGGTTGTTGCTATACGCGCATAAAGAACTCAAGTGTGCATTTACGAAAACTCAGGTCATCACATTTTCATCTCTTCAATAAACAATCGTTACTAACTAGAAACCTTAACTAAAAAAAAAGAGACACTGCATAGACTATTTCGTGAGAGACCTAATTTATTTAGGGAGAACCTGGACGTCTTTCTCAGCCTTGACTTCTTCCTTGCTTTCAGACATATCCCTGTCATGTGTTGCTCCTGCAGCCTCTTTCTGTTCTCGCCTGAGTCGGCGACGAATACCTGTGGCCGACTCGTATCCAAAGAATTTGCTGCGACCCTACGGAGCATCGTCAGGTCGTCGTCGGCAAATTAACGACAATATCCATGCGGTATACCTCTTTAACTTTAAGGAACACGAGCGTGACAATAACGGCCAACCAATAGAAAACGTAAGATAACACGGTACCGACTGAAATGATAAACCCAAATCAGAAGACGACGAGAATCTAGAAGTTCGGAGAACATACGAGTTGCGCTATTGGTCCAGCCAAACAAGGCGTTAAACACCGACCAACCATTGTTGTTCAAGTTGTCTTCGGGATTGCAGCAATCCAAGTGCCATACATTTCCTTGAACTCGATAAGATCCTGGACCGCTTCCACCTGCGTCGTCAATATCCGCCCCGAGAAGATGGTTAAAGGCGTTTCTCTCGAAGGAGCCAACTGAGCGAGAGAAAAGACCAGCTCCGATGAGGAGGAGGAGATTGGTCATGGCGATGAGGAAAACTGTGAGGGCTGGTTTAAGATATGGTCAGTCTCAATGGGACATTTTAAAGGACAAAAATATGCTTACTGGTACGACTGGCGAAGAAGTAGATCAAGAAACCGCAGACTAGACCACATATCAATCCCACGATTGCAGCGAGCGGGATGGATGTGGCGGGTTGTCCCAGAGAAACGCCACCGACGAATACCACTGCCTCCATACCTGTGAAGTTCTGGTAAGAAAACTAGACTGACACAACAAAATAAATGGCAAATTACCTTCACGGAGGACAGTAATGAGAGGAAGGATGAAGAGAGCCCATTTTCCTGTCGAAGTCTTTCCGTCGGCTCCTGAACAATTGTTGAGAATGAAAACGAGCGGAAGGAGAGAGCTTTGACATACGCTTTCCCTCAAAAGCGCGCTCAAGCTTGACGCGCCATTTTGCCTTAGCTAAAGGCGGCTAGATCAGTACAAGTAGTAAAGGTTCAAGGTGGATGGTTCCGACCTCGATCCATCTTGAGCATGGTAACTCCCATGACGAAGATCATGAGACAGGCAATAAGTTCGAAAATACCTGGAGAAAAACAATTAATGAATGAAATAGATGGAGGGAAAATGATTTTTTACCTTCCCATAATTCTTCGGACTTGGACCATAAATTGGATGCTTGAGTGAACCAGACGGCAATAAACCTGTCCAAATTTGAGTTCAAGACGTTGCATATGGTTCAAGGATGACGTACGCAGCGCCGATAGCGAGGGCGAGGAATAAGCCAAGTCCTGCACCAAGGAAAATCTTTACGGCGTCAGACAGAACGATTATGAAGGCCATGAGGTTGATTTACCTGAATTCTCAGCTTGCGGATGAGGCGGCGACGATGGACCAAATCATCCTCGTCTGAGAGAGAATCAGACAGTGCGCCTTCGCCCTCTACGCGAGGGCTATCCTTAGAGTCGTGTGAACCACTCGTGATCGTTGCACCAATTTGTCCTGGGTCGTCATGAACTATCTGTTCAGCGAGACCTAGGAGAACAGAGACGATGATGGCCGCCTCCAAAGTTTCACGGAAAACGATGAAGAAAATGGGGACGGAAAATACGTTCTTCGCCATTGCCGTCACTACCTGGAAGCAGGGAAGGGTGGGGGGAAGGCAAGAAGCATCATCAGTACATTTAAATTAACCCTTTCGGACTTGAACATTTTCGGCGCGAGATTAAGGCCTATGTGTCACATGAAACCCGCAAATGCCTCATCATTATCATATCAAATCTGATAAGATGTGAAAATCGGTTCCAAGATTAGATTCCAACTTCCGCATATTTGGCGCCCTGAAACGTCCGGCTGTTTTGAAGGGTGGTACCCGTACAGAAGGGTGCAGATTTTCCCTGACCATTTCCAGTGTTGCTCTAACCTTACTTGTCCTGGCTTCCTTCCCATATTTTTGCGAGATACGTCCGCGATAGTCGCGCTTTTCTTCTTTTCTTCCGGCTTGAAACTCATGGAGTCAACGTCGTGGGTATTCCAAGTAGTTCGATAATCAGATAAGCCTCGAGACCGCATCGAGACCCGGGAGGCCCGGATGAACCAATGGGCGGCGTTGTCCTTATCTGATACATCGTTTTCCCTATCAGATAAATTTTTTGCCCCCCTAAAAATAGCTCATCTGTCAATGTCCGCGCAACGACGAACTGACCCGTGCTCCATTATGTTGACCTCCTTTTAAATAATACCAGATTTAAATGGTGCCTCGGACCTGCCTTGCATCTGCTTATCCTTCTACTCCCAGGTGGTAGCGTCGCTCAAGATGTGGTCGCCTTTTTCACTGGCCCCATTGCTGTTTGCTTCTCCCGTCCTCGCCGGTGTCCAAGAACTCTGGTGGAACATAACATACGTCGAGGATGCCAATCCAGACGGTCTGTTCAGTCGCAGAGTTGTAGGCATCAACAATACTTGGCCGTGAGTAGTTTTCTTCGGACCCAGGCCTTGGTTTAACTCCACTCTTTTAGCATACCGGTGATTAACGTTTCGACCAACGATTCACTCATCGTTCATGCCACGAATTCGCTGGATGAAGTGTCGACTCTTCATCACCATGGCATGTTCTTCAACTCGACATCATGGATGGACGGCGCCGTGCAGGTCTCTGAATGGTAAACCTATCGTCGCTTCATCTCTCGTCAATGTTGACCCGTGTTCAGCGGTATTCCACCTGGCGGAAAATTCGATTACGTCGTGCCCATCAACTCTTCTGGCCAATGGGGAACATATTGGGTGCACGGTCATGCAAAGGCAAGTCCGAAGATATGCCTTGAATGTATCCAGACGTAATTTCCATTTTTTTCAGGGACACTATGTTGATGGCTTGCGCGGGCCCGTCGTAATTCATCCTTCGCAAGAAGTTCACTCGTACGACGAAGAATTCATCATCATTCTCGCCGACTGGTACCATGAACAGCATGCAGAGCTATTGAAGCAATTCATCAACATCGCCAACCCTGGTGGTGCCGAACCTGTACCCCGTAAGCACGACCATATGCATCGTGTAACGTCATCTGAGTAACAATATATTAGAATCTGGTTTGATCTACTTCGCTGCTCAAAATGGTTCTTATCTTGTGCCCATTTCGGGAACTTCTCCTGCTGGAGTAACATCAGCTGTCGGGTTCAATGAGAACGCCACCCTCCCGTTCGAAGCTGGTAAGACCTACCGTCTTAGGATCTTGAACACGGGCGCTTTCTCGATGTTCTACTTTTGGATTGATGGACATGAAATGCGCATCGTAAGTGCCTCTCTTGGTTATCCCAGTTCTCCATTAATAAATATTACTCCGTTAAGATCGAGGTTGATGGGGTAAGATGCTTTAACTTGAAGCTAAATGGGCACGTACCTAAACCAGCCTCTTCTAGACTGACGTCGAAGAATCACCCGCTGATCTGCTCAGCGTCGCTGTTGCTCAACGGTACTCTATTCTTGTCACGGCTCGTAATGATACCAACGCCAGTAACTGGGCTATCCACGCGAACATGGACACTGCCATGTTCGATACTGTTCCAGCCTCGTTGAACCCCAGTACGTTTCCTCGTGGTTGATGCAGAATTCTTGATCTCATGCACCCCCAGATGTGACTTCATCCATCACGTATTCTTCGTCTGCTTCCCTTACCGATCTCGGAACCATTGATGCCTACGCCGATGTCAATGATACAGCACTAGTCCCTGTCGAAGTCATCGCAGCTCCCACATCCAACAAAACGATCGATCTAGAAGTCAGCTTCGACACCATGGATGATGGAACGAATCACGCCATGTTCAACCAGATCACCTACAACTCTCCAGAGGTACCTGCTATCCTGAGCGCCCTCAGCTTGGGAGACAACGCTACCGTTGAGAGTGCGTATACGCCTCTCAGTTTCGTCGTAGACTATGGGGATATTGTCGACATCGTGATCAAGAATGGAGACGCAGGGAAGCATCCTTTGTAAGTGCGGCTTCCTTACCTCTCTTTCATGCCCATTAATGTGCTATCTTTCCCAGCCATTTGCACGGGCACAAACCCATGATCGTTGGACGTGCTACAGATTACACATCTAACGATCCCCTTTTGAATCCACCTATTGTTGAAGGTCAAGCGAACCCTATACGTCGTGATACAATCCACATCCCTTCAATGGGTTCTGCAACTCTCCGTGTCGTCGCGGATAACCCCGGAACATGGTTCCTCCATTGTAAGCTTCACCCGAGCCTCGGATTCGCCGCTTCTTATAAATTATAACAAGGTCATATCGAATGGCATCTTCAAGTCGGTCTTGCCATAACTCTGATTGAGGCCCCGCTTGTCGCTCAGCAGCGCAACCACGTCCCACAAGCAATATACGACAACTGCCAAGCCTTGGGCACGCCGTTCTCGGGTAACGCCGCAGGACATGATTCAACGACTGATCTCAGCGGCTTGACCTTGGGACCATACCCACAAAAACTTGGCTGGCATTCAAAAGGTATTGGTGCTATGGCTGGGTGAGTGACACTTTGTGTTCCCTTTGTGAATCTTCTTGTGCTGATAAATCGGACAGCTGTGTTCTGACTGCTCTTATTGGTATGATTACTGTCGTGTGGTATTCCACGGGTGGGTATATTTCCGAAGAAGAGATCGAACACGAGGTGAGGGAGAGCATTGAAGCGAAGGCAAAGCGAGGAAAGTTCTTTGGTCTGTTGCGACCAAGGCAGGTTGGTAATTGATTTATTTTAAATGACCTTGTGTGTATCTTCATGTATGAACGAAAACGAATTTAAAGGGCTCTTAATTTTGGTTAATTTTGTTTAGGGGGAAACACGATCTACCGAGACATGCCATTAGCATTCTCCAGAGACCCACTACCAGGGTAGCGGAGTTCGCCCTAAAAAGGGTGTGAGCGAAGTTTTGCGTGGCTCGTACGAACCCTCTAGGAGTGTTGAACGCTCTCCGGACTCATATGAGAGCCTATAAGGCCTTGGAAATAGTGTAGAATGCAGATAATAATTATTCGTTCTATCTACTTGGTTGCCCACGGCTTCATTCCTGCCCAATTCTCGTCTATCACAAAGTTTTTGATACCTGCCTGTAAAACCATAGCGTCGAACGTTGAACTACTGTTCTGTGCATGCCACACGAAATTCGATCATAATGTTCCGAGCGAAAACTGTAGAGCCTGCGAAAGTTAAAATGGGAAAGACGAGACTACATACTTATCGACAGCTTGCTTGATGTACAGGATGGTAATGAGACTAGGGTACTCTATTGTACAACACTTTATCGACCACGGTTAGTCCAGGAAGAATTTATAAGCATCTTTCCACGCTTGCTTAGCGTCCTTTTCTATGACATCCTAAGAAAGATGAGACGCGGTCTGTGCATTCGCAATAGAATACGTGCCCCATGACATGGGATGATCCTCTGAAAGTCCCATCCATCAACAGTTTTCGCAGCGGTTTTCATGGCCCTTGAAGATATCTGAGCGACATTTTTTGAACTAATTGGAGTATCTTACTCCTTATCCATACCCATACTCCAAGTAAATCTCGGATGCAACCAGGATTGAGGACCTAAGGATCCGATGATTGGGACCTTTCCGGAAGCGCTGCTTTTGGAATACTATGAGAAGATTTGAGAAAGGGCCAACATCCATGATCATGAATAACAGACCTGTTCCGTCCCAGGAAGGTTGAGGAGTAAGTCAGCTTGAATCATACTTTTCGAGGCTTCATGAAGGAAAGCGACATCTTTATTGATAAATCCTGAGAAATAACTGAGAACACGTCAGATAATTACTCAACGAGATGACATTTGCGGACCAGTGTTTAATCTGCCAGGCGGTGAGCATTGAAAGGGAGAATGGTTGAAGTAGACGAACCTCATCTTCGAATCCGTATTTCGTGTCCGAAGCATCCAGTCCCCAAGCTAGTCACGAGGCTCAGGATCACGACTACATCACATACTACAAGGCCTTACCACCGTCAAATTTGAGTTCCTTGTTATTGTGCCTCTTGATAGCATCTTGAGGCGCGATCAATTTGGCATGCGGATAAGCGGTTTTGAATTCAGCTAAACATCGTTAGCACAGTCGTTGACGATGCCCTTCGGACTAACTCAAGAATAGGTGGTGGACAGCGTCCGCACCGATGATGTACCTAGAACAAGCATCAGTTGGAGCGAATATAAATTTAGGAGGTGACATGGAAACTCGCTGAACCGGTCCTAGTTCACTCAGCTTAGTCTTGGTCGCGTCGTCCAAAGGTGTGGAAGCTAAGACCCAAACGCCGCCGTTCTGCAGTTTGATAGCAGTCGAACGGCCGCCGAATGGCATGCCCATGCGAGAAAAAGGCCTTGAAAACGGTTACATTCCGGGTATTACAGGTAAAGCGGAGATATGTACTTGGAAAAGATCCAGACATCTTTGGCAACCTGCAAGAGATGATGTTGGCGTTGTATACGCACGGAAAAGGCAGGGCGTACCTCTCGAATGACTAGTTCTGTCATTTCTGCAGCTGTAACTTGAATATTCCGTGGTGGTAAGAAGGAGAGAATGACGAATCCATAACGATCGTGGACTCGGACGCAACCACTGACCCCGGCACCAACTACGTCACCAGATGTGACCTCGTCATCGAACGGCTCAGTTCAAATTCGACCGATTAGGACGAGACCCACGTGTTGCATTTGCATTTTTTTTTTTCACCATAAAATCCGAGTGCTCGACTCTCATCTTATAAGGTCAAGCGACGTTCGAAGCACAAGAGGACTTGAAATATGCGGTGTGACGGTCAGGGTTGCCGTCAATGGCGGGAACCCTGACATTCACTCCTCTAGTACAGTGTCCTTTTGACTAACCTTGTCGTTCTGAGTTGCCATCAGTTTCCCACACCTTAATACCACGTAAACCTCTGCCGTATTTGTGATATGTGCATTTAACATATCGGCTGTGTTCGCGTCTCTAATGCTCTTGACACCTTCCTGTATCTACAACGGCGCATTGGACATCTGCATTTTGACCGCTCGTATTGGTATGATTTCCGTTGTGCAGGATTCCACGGTTGGTATATTTTCGAAGAAGAGATCGAGTAGGCCTGAGGTATGGCGGAAGCGCAACGAAGAAAGTTCTTTAGCCATTAATGCATTACGCGTTATGACCAAAGCATAGGTCGGTAATGGGTTGCATTCTTCAAGTAACGAGCTTCACTTGCTCATTTTCCCTAGATATTGGAGTGAAACTGCAGTGGTGTGGAAGTCTGATAGTTTGTCGGAAGTGGCAAGTCGGGTGACCGTATAGGTGAGTGGCTGCGATCTTGTAATGGATGCAAACTGTCAAGGGTGCCGAACAGTGCCGGCTCGAGTCCGGTTTTGTGTGGCTGTGTCGAGCTCGCTCCTTCATCTGAGTCATGGACATCCCTGAAGATATATTGGACGAAATCCTTCATTATCTTAGCTCAGATTTCCCCTCACTCAAGGCATGCTCACTGTCCCATTCCTTCTTCCTTCCTCCAGCCCGCCGACTCCTTTTCTCCTATGTCAAACTTCCTCACAACAAGCTAATAAGCCGTACAGACATCTGTCTCAATTTCCGACAAACTCTGGTGGCTTCAAAATACGTCTCATCATCGATTCGTACCCTTAGCTTAATTCACTGGGACTCGACAGACGATATCAATTACCGCTGTATATTTCCCTCCCTATTAGAGCTCATTCCCAACCTTCGACGGGTTCACATATTTTTAGCAATGAACAGACCAACTATATTTGGGGATAGCTTCCCTCCACTGCCTCATTCAATATCTAGCGTCCGCCATCTTATATTAGAAGAGATAGTCTTCGACTCGTCCGCTCAGATGCTATCCCTGTTCGTTAGCTTCAGCAACCTTGAAGTCATCTCTACAGCCAGGATCAGCATTGATAACCCCAGTGGCGCGGAGCGCATGCCCGTTCCATCCCATCGTTGTGCTCCTTCTACTCTAGAACTTAATATGGGTGGTGCTCTCGTGGAATGCTTGTTCTCCCCTCAATCCACGATATCCATAGGCAATCTTCGTGTGCTTAGCGTCCAGGCATACGAGCGAAACATCGACGCCATCTCTTCCCTTATCTCCCTCAGCAGCCCATCCTTGGAGCATTTAACGTTCCTCCCTTCAGCATACTGTACGTTGTGGCTCTGAATGTTTGGATACGTGTGCTCACTTGTGATCATAGCGGCTCAATACTATATAGACCTGAGGCGACATATCCGCCTTCGGAGCATCTGCACTAGCCTGGTGTTTAATAGCCACTCCATGGATCCAGCAGATCGGTCGAAACCTTTCCCCTGGGCTCACCGATTTTTAAGACACTTCCGTCGTCGGTGGAAGATATTTTCATCGAAATCTGTTTTAGACCATATGATGCGATTCTGTTACCTCAAAAAAGGAAGGAATGGCAAGAGCTGGACCATATCCTTGCTAACCATCCATGGAATTTTACAGTACGGTTGGGGATATCTGCTGATTATACCATCTATTTTAGCAATCTGGAATATGACGATGTCATTAACGGCAGGTGGCCAACTAGCGGTGATATGGATGAGTATTTTCGAAACTACATGTTGGTGGATGGTATGCCTGAGATGAACAAGTTGGGACGTCTGAATTGCGAGATCACTACAAGTGCGTTTGTTGTCTGTTACACCGCTTTTTAACTAATACTTTACATTGTTACTTAGGCGAGATAGACTTTTCTCCTTCCACGACAGAAATGTGGCGATTGTACTGTTCTCGTGATATAAACAATGTAAATGCCATCGTCTACGCATGACCTAGCCCCTAATGTACTTGAGCTTTGTCCAGTCCGCCTTATTCGACACCGTATTTGATACTTCACCGCCCAAACTGCCATAGCTACTGTCGGATATATTTTCTCTCCGTGTCATGCTGCCAGGTACGTTCGTTTGTGCCGGCGGCCCTTCTTCAATCTCATCTAGTAAACTTTTCTTGATATCTGCCACGATATCGCCAATGTCTGATGCGATTGGAAACCGATCCGGTAGCGCCCAGGTACGAAATGGTTTCTTCGAACTAGAGGGTATGCAAAACGTGGGAATGTGTCTGGCCAAAGTGTGATCAGAAGCAAGACACGGCCGTTTTGTCACTCCGATGGTGTTTTCGGTGATTTTGATACCCATCTCTTCGCAGCAGATGACAAGTTGTACCTCAGCATGTAATCTGATGTCCCATAACTTTGGCTTCCAGGTCCCTGCTATCAGTGCCTCCGTCCATCCAAAGGTATTGTCGACTAAGGAAGTCCGAGATTCACATAAATCAGAGAAGAGCGCGAAAGGAGGACGAAGCGAAACCGGGTTGATAGGGTCTATCGGAGGTCATAGTCCCGGCTGAGCCCAAAGAACCTGAAAATATCTGTCGAAATCTTCTTGGGTATCGTCCGAGCCATCCGATTCCAATAGACGCGTGATCAATGGCAGGCCAGCTACAGCCACACTTTGCGCACCACGCGCCAGGCTGACAATTCGTAACCACCGTCTTCTAAACCGGCGAAGCCTTACTCCTACATCCTGCGAGTCCGAAATCGATGATGGTGTCGGGACCTGTCGCAGGTCATTCATATATCGACTGTCGGCAAAAATTTCCATCGCCAGGAGTACGACGAAGGATTTATTGGAAACGTCGCTATCTTGAGCGAGAATCACCGTTCTGTCAGTAGGAGAAGAAACCTGACATCCTAGAATGCAGGTGACAACAGCGCGGAAGAATACTAGGCTAGCCGAAATAGGATTTTCACGGAAAGGAGGATCGTTACGA